ACGTGGTGCATAATTAGTAATAAGTTATAGACATGCACTAATACGTGGTTCATCTGTATGTGTCTTTCTCTGTACGTTTAATTGTTTTGTGAAGCACAGGGAAATGAAATTTTAAAAAGGATGAAAATAAATGGGTAGAAGTTCTAGTATGTGGTGTTTTTTTTTTAAATGTTTATTTTTGAGAGAGACAGACAGACTGTGAGTGGGGGGAGGGCAGAGAGAGAGGGAGACACAGAATCCCAAGCAGTTTCCAGGCTCTGAGCTGTCAGCACAGAGCCCAATGCGGGGCTTGAACCCATGAACTGTGAGATCAGGACCTGAGCCGAAGCTGGACACATACCTGACGGACCCACCTAGGTGCCCCTCCAGTATGTGTTTTCTGATCCTCTGTGGACTGTTTTGTCCCTGACATTCGTCTTCACTACAGGAGCTACGCTTAGGCTTAGGAGAGTAAATTCCACATACTGTCACTTTAGTCGTTAGAGTCCTTTGTCTTTATTCTTATGGCTGCTAGTCTTGTCCATCTCTAAACCTCCATCGGTCTCCACACTTTCTGTTTGTTCATTTGTGCAACTTGTATTGGTTGGGGTTTTCTAGAGCAACAAAACATGTATTGAGAATACGTATCTCTCACACACACACACACACACACACACACACACACACACACGGAGGGAGGGAGGAAGGGACTAAGATTTACTCTAAGTAACTGGCTTACTTCATTGTAATCCCATGGCCAGTCTGGAATGTGCAGGGCAGACTGAAGATCGGAAACTCAGGTAGAATGGTTCTGTTGCAGTCTGGAAATACTATTTCTTCTTCAGGGGACCTCAGTCTTTGCTTATAAGGCTTTTGACTAATAGGATGAGGCCCACCCACATTATGGAGGGGAAACTGCTTTCCTGAAAGTCTACTGATTTAAATGTTACCACATCTTTAAAAAGTACCTTCACAGGGGCGCATGGGTGGCTCAGTCAGGTAAGTGTCTGACTCCTGATTTCAGTTCAGATCATGGTCTCGTGATTCGTGAGATGGAGCCGTGCGTGGGGCTCTGTGCTGACAGCGTGGACCCTGCTTGGAATTCTCTGTCTCTCTCTTTCTCTCTCTATCCCCCTACCCCACGCATTCTTTCTCTCTCTCAAAATAAATAAATAGGTGTTAAAAAAAAACAAAAAACAAGTACCTTGCCAGCAACATCTAGACTGGCATCTGACCAAAAGACTGAGCACCATAGGCAAGCTGTGTTGACACGTGACATTGAGGAACTTCGGTGGTGTCCTCCCAGCTTATCGGCCAGCCTCCTGGGTCCCTCTTCTCCTTCTTTTCTGCCCTCATTCTGGCAGGAGACCTTAGAAGGACAGACACTAGCATGGGCGAATTTGACTCTAAGCAGCATAAGTAATCATAATACTCACTGTGCTAATACATTCTTTAGTGTTCCCCCAAATATGATTACGATAAGTTTTAAAGTTCTGTGCCACCGGAGCCCCTGTAACCTCCAGCACATATGCTCTAGCTACTCTCAGAAGTACTTTCGGTTCTTCCTGTGCCCTGATAATTTCCTGTCTCTATGGCTTTGCTGTACGAAACGAGATCACGACTAGTATAAAGCAAAATATCAGATGGTAGAAATAAGGAGGGGCTGTGGGAGAACAGGAGTCGATATGAATAATTCAAGCTTCTGAGATCTGAAAACACTTCATTAAGGTGGGGAGAAAGGTGAGGTGAGAGAGAGGGTGTTATGGGCTGAATTGTCCCCCCTCCCCCATTCGTATGTTGAGGTCTTCAGGATGTGACCGTATTTGGAGACAGAACCTTTATACAAGTAAGTCGGCTAAGATGAGGTGGTTGGAGTGGGCCCTTACCCAGTACGATTGGTGTCCTTATATAAGAAGAGGAAATTTGGGTGTAGACGCACACAGAGGAAAGATGACGTGAGGACACAGGGACCGGTGGCCATCTACAAGTCGAAGAAAGAGGCCAAACCTGCTGATACTGACCTTGGACTGTCAGCCTCCAGAACCGCCAGAAGATAAATTTCTGTTGTTTCCACCACCCAGTCTCTGGTGCTTTTAGGTGGCCCAAGCAAACTCCTATAGGGGGAGTGAGGAAGGGCTCAGGGAGCACGGAGAGCGCTGAAGCGGAAAGGCAGCGGAAATGTGGAGGGCCACGTTAGTGGATCGTGCATCTCAGTCACCACTACGAGGTTACAGCCGGTGTCCAGAGCGTGTGGGACATCAGTCTGGCCCTTGAGTTAACATGTTGTAATGGTGCGGAACAGGGCTCTTTAATGATGCCTTGCAGTGAGAGCAAGAGTCTCCAGGAGAAGACGGTTTCCAGTTAGTCCCAGAGCAGAGCTCGGTTTCTACATCTTGGGTCCCTAGTTGATTGTGAGGGAAGTGTCTCTTCTGCCTCGGATGGAAGTGCCAGGCAGTAGGTGATTATTTAAGACCCAGGTGGTAGAATGAACAACAGGTGTTAGAGTGTGTCTGGCTATTTCACTTTGTGGCATGTGCTAGTCACACACGGCTTTCATTATCCTTTCTTAGCTTGGGTCGGCTAAAGTGCCAGCGTTTCCTTTTTTTTTTTTTTTAATAGACTTTGTCTTTTTAGAGCACTTTTAGTTTTGTAGGAAGATTGTGGAGACAGTACAGAAAGTTCCCACGTAATCCATACCCAGTTCCCTTGTTATTAACCTGTTACCTTAGCATTTTACGTTTGTTACAATTAGTGAACCAAAATGTATTCATTAAGGTTTTTTTATTTTTATTTTTTAATTCTCTTTTAGAGATAGAGAGAGTGAGTGGGGGAACGGGACAAAGGGAGAGGGAGAGAGAATCTTATGTGCTAGTTAACACAAGAGTCCTAATGATTTTCCATTATCCACCTGAGGCGGGGCTCGATCCCACGACCCCGGGATCATGACCTGACTGTGATCAAGAGTCAGATGCTCAACCGACTGAGCCACCCGGACACCCCTGTACCTTAAGTTTTAGTTTTATTCAGTTTCCTCAGGTTTAAGCTAGTTTCCTTTTTGTGTTTCAGGAGCTCAGCAGTGATCCTGCGTGACGCTCAATTCCCACGTCTTCTTAGGCTCCTTGTGTCCATGACATCTTCTCAGGCTTTCTTGGTTTTTGTTGACCTTGACGGTTTTGAGGAGCGCTGATCAGGTGTTTTGTAGAATGTCCCTCCACCGAGATTTGTCTGATGCTTTCCTCATGATTCGACTGGGATTATATATAGGTTGTTGGGAGGAAGACCACAGCAGTCCAATGTCATTTTCGCCACATCCTGTCAGGGGTACACGCTGTGGACATGACTGATCGCTGTCGATCTGACCTGGCTCCCCTGGCCCAGGTGCTGCTTCTCGGGTCTCTTCACTGTAAACTTCCTTCCTGAAGCAAAGTCACCATGTGCAGCATACGCGGAAGGAGTGCGGACCCTCAATTTCTTAAACACAAAATACCGCGGAGCAGTTTTTGAAGATGCGGGTGGGTGGTGATGTCGCTGAGTGACACGGAGGGGCAAGGCAAAGCGCAAAACACACCATGCTTTTTTTTTTTTCTCCTTTTGTTTCAGAAAAAAATACTTTGTGATGTTGCTGTGAGAAGTAAGAAAAATGTTGATTCGAACGTTGCGATTTGTTGAATAAAAATAGATCTCAACCTTGGGCCTTCTTTGTGTATTTAATTAAGGCAGTCAGCTCTTATCTGCAGCCTGCACTTATCTGTACCACTGGACTCCCGAGCTATTGTTGCAGCCAGAAAAGGAAAGATTAAAATTGGTCTGTCTTTCATTGTTAATTGAAATGTTATAGAACATTGTTGTCTCAAAGGCAGTGCCTTGACAGTTACATTTACTGGGTGGTCACAGCCCATGTTGGTTTTTCACAGCCTGTGCTCCTTGGCCTTGAATGTGGCCTTTTTCTAAGTTACGGTTTCTAGTATAGACAGAGGACTTCATCATCGCCCTCTAGTGGTCAGCTTTATAATCTCAAATTCTAGTTGGACGAAGTCAGCGATAGAAAAATCAAATTAGTGACTATTCTCAGGATAATTTTCCCTCACGTCTTAATACGGATGCCAATTGAATTTTAGCTATGTCTTTTTGGATTAGAACTAATATTGAAATGGGGCAGTGTTTTAAAGTGGTAAGTAATTCTAACTTGATTAAAAGCTATAGTATTGAAGGTAGCATTCTAGGCAGACAATTTACATAGCTACTGTTTTACTAAGAACCTCAGTGGGCATTTGATTTTAACCAGGGAATTGGATTTGGCTTCTCGTGAGTGTTTTATCGGTGCTGTAGGAGCAAGTGCATATTCTAGATAAACCTGAGAGCTACAAAGTTTTATGAAGCCAGGAGTCAGGAGGTCCTCTAGAGCATTAGTGATCCTTCCTTCCCAGATAAAATTTTATCTCTGCTGAAGGAAATGGCCGCCTTTTCGAGCTCTACTTCAACGCTCATTATGTTACCGTGACTTTAAGAAGATGCAGCATTATAGGGTGCTATCTCTGTTTATCCTTAGAGAGTTGAAATAATTTCCCCAAACTTGAGGCTGGCTTTGTCTTATTCTTGATGGAAATAGTGGGTGACATAATATTTGATTTTGCAGGTGCTAATCCCTGGAATGAGTTCTGGTGGTTGTGCCCAAACGCAGTTTTGTTCTGTTGAGGACCAGAGGGGGTGCCATCTAAGGAAAGGCAACAAAATCAGTGTGAAATCTGCCAGCTCCTGTAGATTGTAGTCCTGATGATGGTGAAAGCATAACTCTAGGGGCAACGACCCCCTGAGCCTTGCTTCTGTTCAGAAGTAGGAGGGAAGGGCTCATACAGAGCACCGGAATGAAAGCAGTGGTCCGTTTGGGTCTGTTTGGTATACTTGGGGTGCATGTGATACCATCGAGGTGCAATAGATATAATTTAGGAGACGCTGATCTCTCTTTGTTGTTCGAACTAGAAGTGCATTAACGAGGAGGTGACCTGTCTGTGTTTTCCCAGCTCCATCTCATCCACTGGAACTCCACCCTGTTTGCCAGTATTGATGAGGCCGTGGGGAAGCCGCATGGAATTGCCATCATTGCTCTGTTCGTTCAGGTAAATGGTCTTTTGCTGCAATTTTTGGATTGTTCAGAGATGCTTATTTCTCATTCATTTGCAGAATAGTTTGTGTTCTTTCTCAACTTTGTTACTTAAACTGCTATACAGAAAACACAGATCATTTAAAATTGGAAAACTTGATTTTTCTGGCTCATGAGAGAGCAGCCACCTTCACTGGTAGAAAACGGTTCCTTCTGGGGCGCCTGGGTGGCTCAGTTGCCTTAGCGGCCGACTTCGTCTCAGGTCATGATCTCATGGTCTGTGAATTCGAACCCTGTGTCAGGCTCTGTGCTGAGACCTCGGAGCCTGGAGTCTGCTTCAGATTCTGTGTCTCCCTCTCTCTGCACCTCTCTCAGTCACTGTCTCTCTTTCTCTATCTCTCTCAAAAGTAAACATTAAAAGAAATTAAAAATTAAGAAAAAAGAAAATGGTTCCCTCAGTTAGTAGAAACTGTCTTCAGACTGGCCTTTAAGGTCTTTGGAGAAATGACCCAGAAAGTGTCTCCTGAAGGCAGAGTTCCTTTTACTGATGAGAAAAAAATTTTCTTAGAAAATGTTTTTGGGCCCTGGCTCACTGAAATTGAAGATAAATCAATAATATAATCATGTAGTAGTTTCTTTTAGGTCTTTGTTATAAATAATTTTCACTCCCAAGAAGATTCCAAGTGTCTGATAGAAAACAGCGATACAATAAGATGTTGGCGGCAAAGGTCTCGGTGGATGTAGTCGATATAAAGTTCAGATTTGGGCTCTGTGGGGAGCAAAATACAGAGTAAACAACATGTATTACATAAATTCTGTGAAACATACAAAAACAGGCCACCTACTTTCAAAGGTCAAAATTTAATTTACTTCCTCCCATGACTCTCTCTAACTTTGTCTTATCATCCTTGGACGCTCTAAACGATTAAGAGGTGAAGGAGACCCTGCTGTCCCCGTCCCCATCCTACAGAAGAGAGACCAAGGGCCAGAGAGGTCAGTCATTGTTTATAGTCACGGAGATTTAGGGTCACTGTCAAGACAGAAACCACTGTCAACACCAGAACCAGGGTGTGGGTTCGGGCTGCCTCTTGGAGGAGGTGGGACCACAGCTGTGCTATCAGCATGGTGGCCGTCCGCAACTGGGCTTTCCACAGGGGGTTGGGCCTCCAGAAACCTGCTTTTTTTGGGTGGTATATGCTTCGTTTCGTTTCGTTTCGTTTCTTTTCTTTTCTTTTCTTTTCTTTTCTTTTCTTTTCTTTTCTTTTCTCTTTTCTTTTCTCTTCTCTTCTTTTCTTTTCCCTTCCTTCCTTCCTTCCTTCCTTCCTTCCTTCCTTCCTTCCTTCCTTCCTTCCCTCCCTCCTTCCTTCCTTCCCCTTCTTTCTCTTCCTTCCCCCCTCCCTCCTTTCTTTCTCTCTTTCTCTCTCTCTTTCTTTCTTTCTTTCTTTCTTTCTTTCTTTCTTTCTTTCCTTCCTTCCTTCCTTCCTTCCTTCCTTCCTTCTTTCTTTCTTTCTTTCTTTAAGTTTATTTATTTTGAGAGAGAGTGAAAGAGAGAGAGAATCCCAAGAATGCTCCACACCGTTTGTGTAGAGCCTGACATGGGGCTTGATCCCACAAACCATGAGATCGTGACCTGAGCCGAAATCCAGAGTTGGATGTTTTAACCAACCGAGCCACCCAGGTGCCCCTGGGTGGTATATATTTTAGTAGTTTCGTTACATACAACAGCTTTCCATTATAGATTTCTTTCTTGGCTATTTCTCGATTATTGCTGTTTGAAAGCAGCCAGCTGGTTTTAGCCTGTTAATATTTTAAAATCAATATCTTGAAAGTGACCCAGGTTCTAGAATTGAAAAACAGATTCTTATAGTTTTTTTTAAAAATGTTTTATTTATTTCTGAGAGACAGAGCTAGTGTGAGCAGGGGAGGGTCAGAGAGATAGGGAGACACAGAATCCGAAACAGGCTTCAAGCTCTGAGCTGTCAGCACAGAGTCCTACGTGGGACTCGAACCCACGAACCGTGAAATCATGACCTGAGCCAAAGCCGTCCGGATGCTTAACCGACTGAGCCCCCCAGGCACCCCAGATTCTTACAGTTTTAAATGAAACTTCTTACTATTTACTTCATGGGTCTATTATAGGCAGGCCCCTATATGCCTTCTATTTTATCACTCCAATGTATAAATAGAATGAAATCACGGTTTTTAAGGTATCAGTGAAAATAGTATTAATTGTAAATACACATTTTGATAATCTTTAGTGTTACTAAAGTGTAGTAGCTATTGAAGTCTATTTTTTGAACCCTGAAAAAGTTAATAAAGCATCCAAATTTGAGACTTTGAGGCAACAGAAGTAGGAGGCAATGTCTTGTTATTAAAAAATAAGAATAAAATAATGTAAATAACTGAGCACTTGCGTAGAAGGGAAGTGAACGTGTTCATTTCATCTCTGGAGTTGGCACTCAATAAGTATTTGTGAGTGGAATTAAACATGACTATTTTCACTTACTGATTCTCAGCATATTACAGGGGACGTGGTGCCCTAGACTCAGAGCTGGGACTCTGGCACCTGCCTTCAGTATTCTGGGAGGAAGCTCATCGTTTTTAAGCATGGGGAAGCTTAAGAGCACACACCTTTGTTCTGATGTTCTGTGTGTTTACTGTGATGAAAAAATCAGTATCTAGGAGAAAGTAAAGCTACAGAAACTTTGAGACCTGAAGGAAATTTCCTGAAGGAAAGAAGGACCGAGCAGGAGTGCCCACAGAATCAGGAAGGAGAAGGACTGGAGTCCATCTGGGGGGGTCTCACACTTAGGCAGGAGGGGTGGAGGGTGAGAGGGGCGGAAGGCCGAGGCAGTGAGCATAGGCTTCCCGTTCAAGAAACGTGGCTCAAGAAAAGAAAGGCAGATGGGGTAATGACTCGTGCTGAGACACACGGATGTTCTCTTTGTTTCATGTTGAGATCTCCGATCTGCCTGTATTTTTATTTTCCACTAAAAGCACTGTGCGGATGCAGAGCTTAAAAATACTGGAAAGAAAAGGGATACATGATATGGAGAAGTCTCGGGGGAGACAGGAAGATGTTGTGGACAGACTAACCTTGGAAAGAAGGGGGGTGTCTCAGCCTTTCTTCACCATAGAGGGTCAGGAGGAAAGAGTGGGTAGAAATGGCACGAATTTGAAGGTGAAGAACGGTTGGAAATTAGAGGAGCTCATGTTCTAAGATTATGATCTTCATAATCTCTGAGATACACAAAGCAGCATTATTTATAGAGCAAGGGAAGCATTGGTGTGGGGTTGAGTTTAGAAATAGCGCAGGAAAGGGTGATAAGAGACTTGACCATTGTGTGGGAGACCCACTTGCACCTGGACATCATAGATTCTACAGGACAACATACTGTGGATTGTTCTCTATCCAGGTAGAAGAGTAGAAAATTCTAGCAAATTGTTTCATTGATCTGTTGCAGGGCGGTGATTTAGGAGGACACAGAAAATTAGGGAATAGGGGTGGTTGAAGAGGTGTCCTCCAGTGTAGGCGGGAGGGGAAAGAGACAAAGGCAAGAGGCCCCTGAGACCTTGGCTGCTTCAATTCTTTTTTAATGTTTTATTTATTTCTGAGAGAGAGAGAGAGAGACAGCGTGAGCAGGGGAGGGTCAGAGACAGAGGGAGACACAAAATCTGAAACAGGCTCCAGGCTCTGAGCTGTCAGCACAGAGCCCGATGCAGGGCTCGAACCCATGAACCGTGAGATCATGACCTGAGCCGACACCGTCCAGATGCTTAACCGACTGCGCCCCCCGGGTGCCCCTTAGATCAGTAATGTGGTGAGAGAGGAAAGAGCAAGAGAACTGGATGGATGAGAAACTGGTGAAAGGGAATGTTCTTTGGGGTGGACATGTTCCGGGTGAAAACAAATGCAGGGAGTGTTCTCAGGATGGGTGTCAAGTGGAGTGGCGCTAGGAGCCCCGGACTGGAGGTTAGAGACACAGACCAGGGAGGGGAAGCCCTCCGCAGCGACAGCAGGAGATGATGACTACGGGGGAGTGACCAGTGGGTCATTTTTTAAAACCTTTGCAACAGAGAACTAGATAGTGGGAGGAGGATGGTGCGCTCAGAGGACGACGGCCCCGTGCACACGGGTCAGAGGAGCCATCGGGCAGGGTGACCGCAGGGCCCTGGCCACAGCTTGCAGCCCTGCCTCTGAGGGAGACTGCACAGCGTCCGCTCGGAAGGCCCGGGCGAGCTGCCCCTTGAGCAGACCTGAGGGGGTTCGCGTAGGCCGGGGGGGGGGGAGGTGGCAGAGCTTGTCAGAGACGCGTTGGCGCCCTGCTCCAGAGCCGCGGTGGCAATGCGTGGGGGTGAGAAGTGGAAAGCCCAGGGCGGTGCGGGGCCGACGGCTTGCGTTTTGGATGACAGCGGGGAGATGGCACAGGTGAGAGCTGAGACTTGAGCTGGTGTCCCGCTCCTCGGCACCCGGCTGTGTGGTCGCCAGGATTGCTGTAGGCTCTTGGGGGCTGGGCCGTTCAGAGTATCGTCCATGCTTGCTTTTTCGTGGTGATCACCTCTTCGTACAGAGATTTGGCAAAGAAGGAAAGGGAAGAAGAGATGGACCAATAGCTGGAGTTGGTTGCAGATTTAAGACTCTGGCCCATGAAGTAAGGGACCGTGGAGGTAGAAGGAGCCGGTGACAGTTGAGTGCTACCAGATGCGTGTCAGGACTGTGTCTGATGCTGTATGACTTTCTGAGTGAGGACGGTAATGGCTGACGGTAATTGAATTGCCGTGTTCCATGTCCTCTGCTAAGGTCTTTGTTTGTTGTAGGCTTACGTTCTACGCTGTCACTTTTACCACGCCACCCCCACCATAGATGAGGAATCTGAAGGACACAGAGGTTAAGTAAACTGGCTTAAGGCTGAAAAGTGAGTCAGGCTCAGAACCCGGACCTCTTGCATGGGTGACCTTGCTCCTGAACCATGACCGCGAGGACTCTTTAACAAGTTACAGTCCGATAGGAGACGTGTGAAAGGAGATCAGACCCCAGCCAAGGCGCAGTCCTCCAAATGCTCCGTCATGGTTAAACCAGAACAACAGAGAGAGGTCCGTTTCCCCAGATGATTGGGCAAAGCCTTCTGCTATCAGATCCAGGCTTCTGCGCTCATGAGTACGTCAGCCTTGGGTACCATTTTTTAACTTTAGAGGGTTCATTTTCTGTCTTTAAAGCCTGCCTGAGGAATTGCAGACACTTGGAATGTAGTTGAAGTCTTGACTGTTTGGAACTGTTTGCGATGTCTTATTATGTAAGGTTCTCGTCTCTTTTCTCTCTGATGCCCCTTCACCTGGCATACTTCGCGGTTGCCGCACAAGGAGAGACATGGAGAATGGGGACAGGTTGACAGCCTTTCTAGCCCCTGTAGGTCGTCCTCCACAAATTTCTGTGGAAGCGAAAAAGCCATGATTACAGTGTTTAATCTAAGATTTCAAGTTATCTCTTGCTGTTGTTGGCCTCCGTTATCATGGGCCGTTGAAACCCGGTCGAAAAGTGGAAATCAGATGGCACTTATAATTTTTAATGTTAAAGTCACAAATACTTAATACCAAATTTCTTTGAAGTCTCACATTCTTTGAAGCATGTTATATGCTAAAAGATGTAATGATCTATAGTGTTTTAAAATAAAAAGCAATGAACAGTGTATTTTGATGTATTTAAGAATGAAAAGGTGATTTTACAATTTTCTCCGGTGGTAATCAACAAATGTCCTGATTTTGGTGAGTTTAAATATGACATCACATCCCTACTTTTCTGAGTTCATGAAAGCTTTCAGCATTGCTGGCATTTTTATAACAATGATCTAAAAAATGCCAGAGGTAAAAATGAAAGTGTTTGGAATGTGATGAGCAGTTTTAATACAGAAACACCCTTGAAATGTTTATACCGCAGTCTTGTGTCATTTGATGTACACTTGATCCTTGAACAAACATGACTTTGAACTGCATGGGTCCACCTTTACATGGTTTTTTTAGAGTACAGTACCATAAATGTGTTTTCTTCTTCTTATGATTTTCTTAATAATATTTTATTTTTGCCAGCCTACTTTATTGTGAGAATACAGTATATAATACGTATAACATTCAAAACCTGTGTTAATTGACTGTTGTTATCAGTAAGGCTTCAGGTCAACAGTAGACAATTAGTAGTCAAGGTTTTGGGGAGTCCAGCATTATACATGATTTTCAACGGCACAGGGATCGGTGCCCCTAACCCCCTCATTGTTCAAGGGTCAATTGCATACAGCAGAGTGGGTGATAATCTATCCACAGCAAGATGAATTGAGAGTGAATTGTTGGAAATGTCCAAGAACATAGCTCACACTGTCTTGTACCAGCTTCTCTTACAACTTTAATTGCCTTTAGCAGATGCTGACCCAGTTATTAATAAAAAGGTCATTTACTTATCCCCTGAGAAGGAAATTCAGGTGGACTTGAACTTCACTTTCTGTTAGTTATTTTGAGGAGACGCTGAGTATTTAAAAACTTTTGCGGTATGGTTTGTGCTTTATGTGTTTCAGATAGGAAAGGAGCACGTGGGTCTGAAAGCTGTGACTGAGATCCTTCAGGATATTCAGTACAAGGTAGGTTATGATTTAAAAGAAAATTCACCAGAAGGACTCACAGAAGAGCAGTTATTCTCACGGGCGTGGTTTATTACAGAGAAAGGTGACAGGTAAAAAATGAGGACAAGGCGAAGGTGCGTGGGGCAGAGTCTGGGAGAAACCAAAGCACAAGCTTCCTGCCGTTCTGCCCCAGTGAAATCGCTTAAGGGTGAGCCCGATTCTTTCAGCAGCGACGTGTCACGACACGCGTGCAGTGTTTCCAATCAGAGAAGATTACCTGTTTATGGGGACCTCATTAGGGGCAGTTATATACACGCAGGGTCTGTGTGACTGACCTCAGCTACTCTGACTCCAGCCCCCACACCCCAGCCCGAGCAAAACCAAGCATTATCATAAATCGAATTGTCAGGGTGAACTTATCTGGCCCGGCTGGTACAGCATGGCCCAAGGTCTCAGGCAGTCGAAAACACTCTTATCAGGCAGGGCTATTCGACGACCTCCTAGCCACTCAAGGCCAGTCCTGAGGACAGACCTCCTGAGGAGCAACCCAGGCCTGCTGAGTCACCCTTCCCACTTACCGGCGATAGGAGAGTTGTGTCAGTGAAACACGAATTGTGGCAATTCTACTTCAAAAAGACAAGCACACGTATGCTGTAAGATCCCATATCTGAGACAAGGTGATTTAGTTTGATCTGGCTGTGTGGTCATGCAGCCCAGCTTTGCTGGGAAGGCAAGTTCTGTTTTACCCAGTACTTTCGAACAATCACATCGAATTGATCGAATCTGAGTGGCCTTGGGGGGGCAAGAGCGTAATCCGGGGTGGCTTCTGGAGATGAAGCACAGAGATTCTGAGATCCAAGGCCAATCCCAGACTCCATCTGGGAATGAAGTCTGATTGGCTCTAGGCCAGCACAAGCCCGGAGCATCTTGAGTCAGGCAGCAGCCTCTTCCAAAGATTTCCCGAGCAGGCTCAGAGTGAACCCGGCTACCAAGGGGAAGCACAGACTAGTCAGAAGGCTGGTAAAAAGGAGGAAGGACATATTTTGATCGACATGTGTCTGCTAGAAATGGATTGAGAAAATTTTCCTTGTTTGCTTCTGCTCCTGTGACATCAGTCTTTCTGGAATACAGGGGGCTGGGGGACGCAAGTAAGCTGGATTCTCTCTCTTTATTCATGTTTATTTGTTTTTGAGAGAGAGAGAACAGGCATTAGCACAAGCGAGGGAGGGGCAGAGAGAGAATCCCTCACAAACCATGAGATCATGGCCTTAGCTGAAATCACGACTCAGATGCTGACCATCCAGGGGCCCCAAGTAAGCTGGATTTGTTTTGTTTTGTTTTTTTTTTTAATATTTTTATTTATTTCTAGGAGAGAGAGAGACAGCGTGAGCAGGGGAGGGTCAGAGAGAGAGGGAGTCACAGACTGAAACAGGCTCCAGGCTCCGAGCCGGCAGTCAGCACAGAGCCCGACGCGGGGCTCGAACCCACGAACCGCGAGATCATGACCTAAGCGAAAGTCGGACGCTCAACCGACTAAGCCACCCAGGCGCCCCGTAAGCTGGATTCTTTAATGTGTCAGATAGTTCCTGGAAGTGAGGAAGAGACCAAGAGGTTACGCATTAACTTGCCCTGTTATGTCTTTGTTGATAAAGGAACCTTCTAAGAGACCTCCACTTGCTGGGAGAGGTCTGTTTGTCTCTGGGGCCTGAACCATTTAAGTGGCACTCTTTAAAATACCGAGTGTAGGGGCGCCTGGGGGGCTCAGTCGGTTAAGTGTCTGACTTCGGCTCAGGTCATGATCTCAGGGTTAGTGAGTTCGAGCCCCGTGTCAGGCTCTGTGCTGACAGCTCAGAGCCTGGAGCCTGCTTCAGATTCTGTATCTCCCTCTGTCTCTGCCCCTCCCCTGCTCACGCTGTCTCTCTCTCTCTCTCCCTCTCTCTCTCTCTCTCTCTCAGAAATAAATAAAACATAAAAAAAATAAAATAAAATACTGATTGTAAATGTGAACCGTTGAATAATGGCACAAATATTTTATCAACTTTTAAATACAGCTTTGATAAAAGTTGGTAAGAATTGAATATTTTCACTCGGGTGTTAGTTTTCCCTCCGTGGAGGAAGAGAGCATCTAGAATACATCGGAGAGCTGAGTTACCAAATGCCAACGAACGAAACGAGAGTTTAGGAGGCAGGTTATCCTGCCAAGAAGGCTAGGAGCTGAGGTCAGGGCAGCGGGAGGAGGGTCACCGCGGAAGAATTCCCTGAACCGGGGTCCAGACATTTTACACCGAAGCCCGTCTCTGGTGTGCGTGGGGCAGACAGACGCCGGACAGACAGTGGTAAGTTCCACCCCGGGGCTGACAGGGAGCATCGAACTGTGGCAGCGAAGGAATCACCGAAGGCTCAACGCAGGAGCGACTTGTTGGAACCGGCCACTGTGGCTCCAGTGAGGAGACGGAGGGAGGGACCCACGGGTCCGTGGTGTCATTCAGAAAAGACCTCAACGTGGGTTTGTAGTGCCAATGGGTTTTTATCACACAGTTTAGAAATCTCGTGTTAACGTGGGGTAATGTTTTTTCTTTCTCAGGGGAAGTCCAAAACAATACCCTGCTTTAATCCCAACACTTTATTACCAGGTAGGAATAGCCGTGTGGATGTGACTGCCTTGTTTTCCTCAGACTACATATAACTATACATTATGAGTTAAAGTTTCTTTACAACTTCCATTCTCTGTAGTGGGTACAGTTTCAGATTGCTCGGAACGTGGGAGGAAACCTTTTGAAATACTAACCATTTTGTCACTTGTTTGCTGTTCTCCGAAGGGCTTCCTTTGGCTTTTTATTTGTAAAAAATTGCTGCCTCTGTGAAAAGGACAAGCATAATAACAGAACCTTGACATACTTCTTGGACTGGTCAGCGAGGCTCTTATTAACCTCTGAGTGAAGTAAACTTTGTATCTAAATGCGGTGATACTATTATTTAGGTGTTACTCTAATCATTCAAGTATACCTTGAATACTTGTATATCCTTCAAGTATAACTTGTAAGAGTTGTGTGTAAGATACTCAAAACGTAATTAGCAGTTAAAGGTTGTTTAGTATAAGATTTTGGTCTTTACATTTCTCTGCCTGAATTTCATGCTGTTTCTTTGTGTTTTAAACAAAACCAAATGGGCGGATGCATTGTATCTTCTACTTCCTACATTTAACTGTTTCATGGCAAACAGGTCTTTGGCGTGTGTTGAACGTTTATCCATCCTATTTGATTGTGAATTCCTCTAATGCGGGATTAAAAGATTTCTTAGGAGTGATTTGTTTTGTCCTGTCGTACTAGGCCTTTAACATTTTGCTGTTGAGGGAGCAGTATGGAGCTAGCTAGAACAAATGGTTGAAGACACACGTTGAAGTCAGACTGCTTGGGTTCGAATCGCGGCTCTGCTAGTTATTAGCCGAGTGACCTTGAGCAAATTACGTAACCTTCTGTGATTCAGTTTCTCCATCTGAAAAGTGGGGCTTATGACACTTTGTATCTTGTTGGTTTGTGGTAAGGGTTAAACAAGTTCGTATAAAGTGCTTAGAACACTGCCTCACATGGAGTAGGTATTGAATTAGTACTGAATTAAGTATGAATAAGTCAGGTCAGCCCTTCGGTAAAGTAAAAAACGCCACAGATACACTTCTTCTGAAGTGACTAAACTTGGCATACATGTACACATATGTGTCTACATGTCAAGTTTATATAGCCATATTTGGATTATAGAGTGATACATTGATAGAAATCACTATAAATAATAGAAAGAGTGTTCATCCTATTTCCCCATTAGTAATTTTCTCTGTGAGGACTAGTTTAAGAGTACATGTGTGAGGCTCTAGTTTAAAATGACTTCAGTCTGAAAACTGTTGGGTAGACAGTTTGTAATTTTGAAAATTATTACTGAAATCTTCGAGATTATTATTAACTTCCATTTTCTTGGCATGTCCACATGGTTGCACAGATCCTTTGCTGCGAGATTATTGGGTATATGAAGGCTCTCTTACCATTCCACCTTGCAGTGAAGGCGTTACCTGGATATTATTCCGATACCCTTTAACGATATCCCAGCTACAGGTGAGTACAGCGTTTTCAATCTTCCAGAAGAAGTTCTGAGTTAAAGGTTAACTATTGTTTCTGTAAAAGAGAAGTGTCCGTTTTATGTTCTAGCTTCCTTTAGATTCGTCACATCTTTGCAGATGAAAGTTAAATGTCTTGAACCAGTGAAAGCAATTGAAAGGTCAGGGATGAACCAAGCCCAGCTGTCACTTGTGATCTGTATTTTAAAAGTTAGTTTTTATAGAGTAAATAGAAGTCACTGAAATAGTCAGACTTTTGATTAGTCTGGTTATTTCTTTATGCAGGATTCCCCAGGAATGGAAAGGAGAAAGATCTTGGAAATGAGAGTTTTGGTTATTTCTGTGAGTCACATGGGCTTTATAGTACTTCTTCCTTGTCTTGCACAAGAAAGTTCTGTAAGCAGAAAGGTGAAGGGGAGGTAAAAGGAATGCTCTGGAAAAATCCAGACTGTTCTCTGGTCCCACTTTTGCTCATCTACTTCCCACCTTAGGCTTTGCATAGGTGCTCTAATGCTGATGCACGGGGTGGAGGCCCCAAGTTGAATGTCAAGGGATGTTGGCTGGTGGAACATGAGACGACATCTTTCTAATGTGTTTAAATAATGATTTTGATATTATTACGAAAGAGGTGCTTCCGATGTCTCCTGTCCTCCAGGGATCTAAGGGATGTGTTCTAAAAGGCTGTATTTTTTTTCTTCATGATCACTCTCAAAAGCCTTAAGCTACACTCCAAACAAACCAAGTTTCCTTTAGTAACATTTTGTACATTTTTATTATACTCCCTATCAGTTTATAAGAACTTTAAGTTTAGTAACTACTCAGTAAAGCCTTCTTTTACTTGTCCTTGAATCTTCAAAAATCCTTTCAGCCTTTAACAGTTTCTTCTTATTTTTCTTCCTCCAAGGATTAATTTTAAGAGTTCCCAATTGGGGCGCCTGGGTGGCTTAGTCGGTTAAGCGTCCGACTTTCGCTTAGGTCATGATCTCGCGGTTCGTGGGTTCGAGCCCCGCGTCGGGCTCTGTGCTGACTGCCAGCTCAGAGCCTGGAGCCTGTTTCGGAGTCTGTGTCTCCCTCTCTCTGACCCTCCCCTGCTCACGCTATCTGTCTCTCTCTCTCCTAGAAATAAATAAAAATATTTAAAAAAAAAAAAAAGTTCCCAATTTAGCTTCTCCATCCTTTTGCAGACTTGGGTCACACCACCTTTTGGCCTTCATATTTTTAACATAACAAATCCCTTATTTATTCATTTGTCCCATGTTCTTACAAGAAACTATCCCCAAGTGCCAACCAGACACACAAAGAATTTAGAGATTAAACCTTTACCCTCAGAAGGTTTACCGTGAAGTTGAAGAGGCAGACAGTCACATGGATAATTATGTTCATCGTGAGCAGTGAGGTGCTCCAGAAACGCATAGGAGAGACACCCATCCCTGACTGGGAACTTTTAAAATTAATCCTTAGAAAAAGAAGTAAGTGAACAATTCCTGAAAAAAAAAATTAGGAGTAAGTCTCATAAAGGAGAGAAAAGGAATTAGAAATTTGAGTCTAATGTTAGCAATGGAAGTTTGGACTTCTGCTGACGGGTTTTAGCACCAAGATGGTAGCTGTGGTAGCCACTCCATGTGAACATTTCAGTGACTTGTCACAGAAGAAATGTACTTCTTACTCAGGACCCAGCAAGTGGGTTTCTTACTCACGGTGAAGGCTCCTCTCTGCACGGTTGTTTAAGGGACCAGGGTGAAAGACACTGCCTCGCTCGCAACGTTGCCCTAGGTGTGGGCACGTGGCCAGCAGAGAGGGGAAGCGTGTGAAGAGCCTCCAGGGGGATTTTTTAAGGGCAATTTCTAGAAACAATGAATGCTCGTGCTTGCCTTCTTTTGCCTGGAACTCAGCCTCATGGCCGGACTGTGGGGGAGGCTGGGAGGTGCGTTCAACCTTCGTGTCCAGGAAGAGGAAGGAGTGGATTTGGTGAAGAGCTGTGCTCAAGTTCGGGAGGAGACAGGACACCAGCTGATTACAGAACCTTAGAGCAGCTGGAGGAGACAGCACCATGTGGGGAACGAGGAGGGACTTCAGGACAGCCGGGGGGTAATGATGTCCTGGGACTCAAGACGGGGGAGAGCATTGCCAACGTGTGGAGGCGAGAAGTTAATAGTGACAGATGCCTCAGAGAATTTCAGTGGGATGAGTGCTGCCCCCGGCGTGGCAGTTAACTGTACCTTATAGAAATGAGCCCAGATGCCAGTAGGTGGTTTTGGGAGCCACCCCAGTGCTGTGTGATTACCAGTACTGGGTGCCTAAGCACTGCTGCCTTCCAACTCTTGCCCTTTATGACATTACAGTTCCTCTGAGACCCTCTCTCTATGTGAGACCTTGTCAGGAAAACCTCACCGGTATCAGAGAAGGTTTCTACCTGTCTGGCCTATCTTTTGTGTCCTCCGTAGGAAGAATTTGGTTTTCTTGACAGTTAGAAACACCTTCAGAGCAATACCTTCAGAGGCTGAGGTGGATGTACAGATTTAGGGACATTGGCATGAGAGAGGGAGCCAGTGAGAACAAACAAGTGAGGTACTCAAGAAAAGAGTACGGGCAAAGAAGAGTCGAGAAGATGGGAGAAACGTTGTATTGGGACTTTTTCCCCAGACCTCCTATTTTTTTTTTTTTTTTTTTAATTTTTGAGAGACAGAGAGACAGAGCATGAGTAGGGGAGGGGCAGAGGGAAGGGAGACACAGAATCCAAGGCAGGCTCCAGGCTCTGAGCTGTCAGCACAGCTGACAAAGTCAGCCGTCCAACTGACTGGGCCACCCAGGTGCTCCATCCTGTCTCATCCTGTCTTTTCTTTTTTTTTTTTTTTTTAATTTTTTAAGGTTTTTTTATTTATTTCTAGGAGAGAGAGACAGTGTGAGCAGGGGAGGGTCAGAGAGAGAGGGAGTCACAGACTGAAGCAGGCTCCAGGCTCCGAGCTGGCAGTCAGCACAGAGCCCGACGCGGGGCCCGAACCCACGAACCGCGAGATCATGACCTAAGCGAAAGTCGGATGCTTAACCGACTAAGCCACCCAGGCGCCCCTCATCCTGTCTTTTCTAAGAGAACTCTTCTAAGCGGGTAGGGTCCCCTGGGACTCACTACTCTCCTTTTGCCATCTGGTTGCCCCAAGTTCTGGTTACTCTCACCGACATCACATTTCCAAGGCAGGGAAGGTCTGGGATTAGCAGGTGGGCCTGTGAAGGCCGTGCTAGTGGTTAGCTACCCCATCCAGGCCAGACTGTGAGAGACTGCAGCCTCAGCGGTCCTGATTTTAGGATCGCTCTGGGAATGACGTATCTCAAAGATCAAACATCCCTCGGCATTTACTTTTCCTATGACTTGCTTCTAGGACAGTGATATTATTTCCTTATTGTTGCTGCAAGTGGCATCAAATCTTAGATGGCTAAGTTTCAAAGCATCGAGGCTTAGCATACAGAAAGTTTTGTGACGCTGGGGATACATTCATTGGCTTTTACATGTCACTGACCCTGCTTATAACAAGCAGTTACTGATAGAACATGATAATATTTACCATGGTCCTGTCTTCCTTTACCCTTGTGATAGGCAGAGGCTAGCATGTGGAATATCTCCTTCACGAATAATGTGGGTAATTTATTCACTAATTCATGCATTAATTGATTTGGTAATTTGACATTTTCTGTATCCCAGGTACCATAGTAGGCACTGAAGTCAAGGACCAAGAAGACATGGTTCCAACCTCAAGGAATTCACCATCTCGGGGGAAAGGCGAATATGTTCGCATTTAAAGAACAGTAATTTCGTGTGAACAATGCCTTGATATGACATGAATATGGATTTGCAGTAGCGCACGGGACAGATGTCAGATAAGATGTAGCCATCTGGTAGACCTTCCGCAGGCCAGGTGATGGGGTGTGGCACAATTGTTAGTGTCCACACAGGCACAGAGGACTTGGAGATGCAGGCGGTTAGCATAAAGGGCCAGTGGCATGAGATGAAATTGGAGAGATCAAGGGCCTGACATTCATCAGAGAGCCCGGAGACTGTGCCGTGGAGGCTTCCCAAAGGCAAGGACTTTCTGGGGTGTTGTGAGAAAGAGAGACGAGGCCAAGTTTGAATTTGAAAAGCCTCTCTGTAGGTGCAGCACGAAGATGGAAACCTTAGTGAAGCCTGTGACCGTAAGATGAAAGGAGGGGAATGGTTCTCGAAATAATAAGGGGGTAGAATTGGTGATGGTGACATTGGAGGGTTTCCAGGGAGGATGGACCACATATTCCTCCCTGGATTTTGGTTTGAGTGACTGCTAGGTGTGGAGTTGCTCTTCACCATGATAGGGAATACAGGTGGAGTGGAGGAGCTGGCTTTATGGACGGTGTTGGGAGTTTATGGTTGTAAATGCTGAGTTTGAGATGCCTTCGAGACATCCGAGAAAAGGGCGTATCATATAGATGAAGGTTGAAGCCCTACGTGTAGAAGAGAAAGTCATTTAGGGAGAGGGAGGGAAAGATGCAGCGCGCTGGGCCGTGGCCCCTGATCAGGGCGTGCATCGTAAGACCTGTCCCTGTGCAGTGACTCCACAAGTGGGGAGAGTCAGGAGGCTGATGTGGCGTGATGTCTGGAAGGCACAGTGGTGGGTGGGCATGAGTTTTAAGGAGGAGGGAGCGGAGAGATGCAAAGTACCCGATGCTGCATGCCCATTAACTGAGGGGCTGAAAAGTAGTCATTGGATTTAGCCACAAGGAGTGGTCTCAGACATGGAGAAGAGTCTGAATCCACAGTCCTGCGTGTTCAGCTGCCTTGTTTAGGGGTACTTCTCTAACGGCAGAGCAGACCTTTAGCAAAAAGTAAAACTTCATCACCACAATAAATTTCCATTTATGGGAAGTTAAGATTAACTTTGGTGAGCCACAAAGGAGAACATTCTCAGTCCCTCTTAGAATTCCATGAAGGACTCCCTTGCTAGCATGTTAACGCATGCGGATGTGAATGTT